TTGTCTCGTTTTCTTTTTACTAGGATTTATATGTTACACGAGTAATATTATAAACACAAAATTTCGGCCAAATCGCCCCTGGTCATCTCTGGGTATCCATTATTTTAGTTAATACGAGATTATCTTATTTGCTTATAAGATCAATATATTATTTTTGTCCCTGTAATGACCTTTCGCTTGAGCGTGACGATAGAGCAATGAATACAAGCGGTAGTTAATCAAGTGTTGCTGTTATCCAATGGTTGCGTGTTCAATCCATGTAACAAGTACTGAAATAAAATACCCTGGGTCAGAGCATAATTGAAATATCCTATAACCGCCAGAATATTGACACGTGATGATTTTTTTATTAAATCAACCCTCCCCCCCCAAGAGGTCAGATTGTGACACAAGGCCAGTTTAATGTGGAGAGCCCGAGCGCGTACACCCGGGCTAGGAACAAAAATTGCCCGCTACCTCGGCAAGCGTCGGTTGCGCTGGCCTCGGTGCGAGCACCAATCCCTCTCACTGGTGCAATGAGAGGGGGCGCCCTCGAGCAACTAAGCACCTCTCGGTATAATTTTCCTCAGTTGCGACTCTGTCCTTTGACGGAGCCGCCACTGAGCGCACTATGCCCCAAAACAGAGACGCAACTGAGAGATGATAAATAATGTGTTATAAACTACTCGATGAACACGTGATGATTGTCGGATGGTACGTGGCCGAAACTTTGTGTCTTTGATAATATTTATCATAACCACGATCAGAAAAATAATTTGAATAAAAAGAGTTTGTTTTCCTGCAATAAATTTTCAATTAGAAAGAAAGCATTATTTGCCGTCGTCTACATTTAGGTTATTTATCAAAGTCACTTTCCAATCTGCCAATTAATCCAATTTCATACAAAGAATCATGTGACATGTGATTTTTGGTCCTGGGTCCATGATAACGAAGATTGTCTAAATGCGTCTTTCTCAATATCTCTTTGATAAACTATCTATTTCCTATCTCGAGTAATATTTCACAGATAGTATTGTGTTACATAGGACTAATGGCAAGAAAGTAGTCCTGACCAGATCATAATATTCATTCCATTTAACTCCTATGCTTGTCCAATAACGAAACATCTGGCGATGAGAGAGAGTGCAGAGATGCCTGGATTTATGTCTTTATCAAAAACATTAGTGTAAAGTGAAAATGTGCAGCCTCAGCTCGAATTTGAACTCACTACTTGTAATTGTTACTCTGCTTCGCACTAATAAACACATACTTGATATCAAATTATAATTCTATAAGAATTATTTCTCCTGTACACGAACAAAGACATGTAAATTATAATCGCCAATATGCTTATTTTAAAAGGTTCTTGATGTTTGCGTGAGAAGTAAAGGGATTACAAATATGATCTTCAACTGCCATATAGCGCTGACTATACGAATTTCGGTCCACTATGTCGTGCTAGGCAATTTTACTCGCCAGATTATATCTTGCACATTTATAAGTCAACTATTCGTCCATGCGTCGAACATTGCCGCCAATTATGCTCTTGCGCTTCTGTTTTATATCTAAAGATTCTTGACAAAATCCAAAGAAGAATTGGCAATGTTGTCGGTCTTGACCTCCCATCTCGGCTTCAGTAAATTTCCACGGCCGTAACGTAGCTTCCCTTTGCCTTTTCTATAAATATTTTCACGATAATTGTTCTGATGAGTTTTCCATGTTGGCATTTCGATTTCACGAATTTAAGCGCAGTACTAGATTGGCAGATAGGTCACATAATTTCACTGTTGAAATTATCAGTTGTGACCATAAGTTCTATATGCTAATATTTTCTTTTCTCGCAATTTTCGCTTCTGGTAAATCTCTTTCGTCTTCCTGTTTTACTGTCAACTACAACTGTTTAAAATTTAAATGTAATGTCAATCATCATCTGTCTCCTTGAATCTTCTTCTTTTATTGCCTTCTCTAATATATATTTGATTTTTCTTGTTATTTCTTATAATTTTCTTCTTTTCTGGGCATAAATTATGTAAAAATTGTCCGAATGTTCTGTATATCCGAGCGCTTTGGGCTATGCTTTTAGCCATTATCAAGGATGATTTTATTTTTACTTTTAACTGAATGTATGTATTGTTTTCTGCATGTACCTAGAGTTGTAAGAATGTTTTATTTTCCAAACACTCAAAGACATCAACTATGAACACTGCCACAATCTACTGACAATTTCTACAAAATCTATGTTCAAAAAAGAAGAAAATTATAAGAACACAAGAAAAATTAAGTAAAACTTAACAGCAGGCGGAGTAATAAATAATTTCCGTTTATCAACTTTATTCCTGAAAGAAATAAAGTACAATTGCATTTATTTAATTCTTTATTCACCATTATGACAGCTCAGCCAATGAGAGTGTTTACTTATATAGTAAAGGCTAATATTACCATTACCATATGTAATGGCATATTACCACTTATAAGGCAGCTCTTTGATACATTTTAAATAAAATTCTAAAGCTGTTGATGCGAAAAAGTTTTCATTAGATAATGTTTTCCTTATCAAAGTATTTTGCGCCGACTGAAAAAGGTAATAGTCGATTGGTGCAAGGTCAGGTTAATAAGGTGGGTGGAGCGAAACAGAGCAAATGATTTCAAAATGTTTTCCTGTGTCATTCTTGTTTTATGTGGTCATAGAATAGAACAACATATTTCATTTTGGCGAGCACAGGGTGATATTTGACCAAATCTTTTAGGGACACTTTGCAGCTGACAGACGTATATATTTGCATTTAGTTTTCCATTGGGTTTTAAGGACTCCAAATGAATCCCAACGTTCTACCCTACGTACAAATGACCCCCAAACGTTCTACCCTACGTACAGCATTACCTTTCTTCTATGGAGTTCTGATTTTGGGGGTCGGTTATGGAGATTTATCCTTGTCGATTCACTGCCTTTTGCGTTAAACATTGTCGTATGCTAATATATTCGAAATTTATTCTTAACTTCCACAGATGAATATGGCAGGTGGTGCGAAACAGGCCAAATGAGTTTCAAAATATTTTCCTGTGTTAGTCTTTCTCTATGCTCTGTACTCTGTAGGTAATCTGTCGATTATGGGGAATTAATTACACATGTTCGATTTATTCGAACAATTGTTCTCATCTTGACTGTAAATGGCGCAGTCACTTGTATCTGCGAATGCAAGGGCGACGAGCTAAACCTCATTACAGACGCCTGCTCAGGCACATATGCATTTGTTCAACACTTACAGTGCCCTCCTGTGGTTTCATGCTCACGGGCCTTAGAGTTTCTGGGAGAAAGCACATTATCTAGCGTGATCAATAGTCTGAACAAGGCTAGCATACTCAAACCCTCGGTCACGATGACTTGTGACTTCATGCTAGCACAATCACCCACAGATCCCAAGGGTTTTATCTACCCAATTTCAATTGCAAGGTTTCGGTCAACCCGTGGTATGGTTTTCAAGCGCTTTTCAAAGGTGCCGTATGCTGGGATCCCCAACTCCAGACCGATAATATCAAGAAGTCACCTTCCTGACAAATCGACAATGGTAAGATTCGAACCCGGACCTTATAGTCAGAAAGCTAACCACTCAGCCACGTACCCATATTCATCTTGACTATTATATATGTTATTATTATCATTATGATGATGTTTCAGCCAAGTAACCTCTGACCATCTTCACATTTCTATTATTTTAAAACGAGGAATCGTTAGTATCTTTACTTGTTCGATTTATTCGAATTGTCGTTCCTACTTTTCTGTTTGTTTATTTAGTTAGAATCATATATTCGTCATCACAATTGGTTCCTGAAAAACGAAATTACTTATGTCTCAACTTAATAGCTTCGGATTTTAATTCCATGAACCCAATATATCTTTCCGTCTGACCTTGTTTCCATTGCAATTTAAGTGTTTTAAATTTTAAAGATCTGTAATAATGCATGAATATAGCTTGCTCACTTCTTTAATGCTGTTCTGTTTGTTTATTTCAGCCCGTGATGGACATCAAGTTCTCGCCTCGAAAGCATAGTCGACATCGTCGGACAGTTGGTCAGATGTGTACCGATGAAGAACATACTGGACGTTGTTGCCTTTATCCACTGATGGTTGACTTTCTCGAAATGAAATGGTACTGGGTGATATATCCACATCACTTTGAGGCCAACTATTGTTCAGGAAACTGTTCTCTTGAGATCATAGACGACACCTTACCTTATGCTTACATAGGATTCAAATCCGACATGTCCATTGATGGTGTACGTTGTTGCACGTCGACTCGTGAAGGCGAACTGCAAATATTGTATTACACTGATACCAACAAAATCATACACACACAACTCAAAGACATTGTCGTTAAAGAATGTGGATGCCGATAGATCGTTGCCAAAAACATTCTTTATCAGAGAAAAGAACAATATTGACATTATTGAGTGAAAGGAAGAAACAGTAACACAAAATTGTCAAAATTTAGGTGAATTTTTTTTTAACGATGATTCATATTGAAAACATTTATTTAAAGCTTTCGATTGCATTAATATTAATGAATAAAAAGCTATACAAAAGGACGGATGCGAAAATAATAAGATTTCATAAGATTAGCATCGCATTTTCTGACGCCATGATTTATCTACACGAGAGAGATATGCCTAATCTCATGATTAACTCATTAAAGAATTTATTCATTGGAATTTGTAGTGACAGCGAGATTTCCAAGTATCCGGGGAACAATCTATTAATGCTGTCCAAAACTTTACAGAAGGCATTTCCATAATATGAAATATAGCAAAGAAAAATACATTTTGCATTATCTGAATATTCATCCGAGAATGAATTGCTAAAAATAGTACATTCATATATATATATATATATATATATATATATATATATATATATATATATAGCACATGTATGTATGGTTATGTACATTCAGATTAGCAGCAAAAATCCATCAATATACATACACACAGGACATCTCATTTGCGCATATATCGATAGAGTGACTCTAAGTGATGTACCCATACAAAAGTGAATATATTCTAAACGAAAGGCACACATAGATAGATAGATAGATAGATAGATAGATAGATAGATAGATAGATAGATAGATAATGAACAGACTGAGATAGATAGAGAGATCGGAAGGCAGTGAGTTATGAACACACATGGATGAAAAGGAAAGAGAAGAGGTTGAACAGGTAAAAACAGATCAGAACATAGTGAGATAGAGGGAAAGATGGAGCGTTAATTATGAACAAACAGAGGGAAACAGAAAAAGAAAAACAAGAGATACATATGAAGAGCAACGAATAGAAAAGAACAGATTAAGAGATAAGTATACTGGGATAGAAATATATTTTTATATATATATATATATATATATATATATATATATATATATATATATTATAAACAGATAGACATTAATGAGAAAAGTGCTACTATGGAAGCAAACATTCCAAATAACAAATATTGTATTACAGTGTAACCCGGATATAACAGAGTTGTCGGGACCGGAGAAGAAGTCTCTTATATCCGGGTTTCTCTTATATCCGGGATTGGTCTATTATATATACATTAACACAGGCTCTAATTTGGGATCAGAGAAAATCTCTCTTATATCCGGGTTTCTCTTATATCCGGGTCTCTTATATCCGGGTTACACTGTACATTGATTCGAAGAAAATCATACACACACAACTCAAAGACAGTGTTCTTTAAAAATGGGGTTTTCAAAAGATCGTTGCCAAATATATTCTTTATCAGAGAAAAGAACAATATTGACATTATTGATTGAAAGGAAGAAATAGTAACACAAAATTGTCAAAATTTAGATGAAAAGCAGTTAGTCCAACTATGGAAGAAACAATTCCATGCTATGCTAATTTTACAAATGTGAATCCTTGCCTACATTCAGCCTCGGAATATGAAAACTTACCTGTTGCCTCCTCCGACTACAAACAATGGACATCGTAAAGAAGTAAGTAAAATATTAGCCACTATGTAACAGCAAGGAACGAAGTGGGAAAAAGATTTTACAATGCTAAATTTATATATTTTAATATAAATAGCCCTATCCTTATCTTCCTACACTCAAGGTAGAGTATTACTTTACTGTGTGGAGCATAGGAAACGACAAGCGTTAAGAATATAGATTTGAAGTAGAATTTAAAAGGATTTGTAAAGTTTTTACACACTTTACGCCCATAAAAGAAAGCAAAAACAAACTCGGAATTGTAAAAAAAGTTAATAAAAAATGGATAGACAGAACTTGTCGATATTATTCAACCAAACATATTTGAAATAATTCTTGCTGACGAAATACACTTTATTTTATTATATATATATATATATATATATATATATATATATATATATATATATATAAGATTGATATATATGTGATTAATATATATACGTAATTAATATATATGATTAATATATATATACATATATATACATATATATATAAGATTAATATATATATATATATATACATATATATATATATATGAATAATATATATATATATACATATATATATACACACATATATATATATATATATGTGCGTGTGTGTCTGTGTGTGATTAATACAAATAACATTTGTTACTTAGCAGATTGATGTTATATTCAGCTTTTCAACTGCGCAGTTTCGTAAACAGGCTCATTTTTTGATTATTCATTCCACGCATCAGAAGTTTTCAGAAATTGTCTGTTGTTGCCACTTAACCCAGGTGACCACAGTTATATACGTGACAATGCCATTTTACGATTTATAACAAGTGGGCGTAGTCTCAGTTCAGTTCTCGGGTTTCGTAAGATGCCACGTTATCTCTGCATTATTATAGCATTAAAACTTCAGATATTGCATAGTTGAAATAATTACAAACACAAGGAAACCAATCTTAACAGAAAATATTATACACTGTTTCTTTCATGCTTGTACGCTTACAGTTAAATCAAACTGAAAACACCGGATACCAATTGAACTTAAGCCGTATCGAGCTCGGTCAGTACTTGGTGCTGGTGACAGGCGGGGGAGGGATGCTTGGTTATACGAGATATTGTAACTTCCTACAATCCGAAATGGATTTCGGCTTTAAACAATCCATAAAGGGTGATAATCCATGTAAAAACAAATGAATCAAATTTTCATTATATATGATCGTATTTTAATATATATATATAATATATATGTGTGTATATATACAATATATATAAAACATATTTATATAGACTATATATATATATATATACAATATATAAATATACAATATATATATATATATATATACAATATATATATATATATATATATATACAATATATATATACAATATATATAGATATATATATATATATATATATATATACAATATATACACACACATATATATATATATATATATATATATATATATATATATATATATATATATATATATATATGAAAAGTGTATATAAATATAATTAAATATAAGTATGTATAATTATTTTATATATTATATGTTTGGTACTTATTAGAAAGCGCTCAATATCATAGATAGAGCTAACATATTTGGTTGGATAGATATATATATATATTTGGTTGGATAGATGTGAGTCTGACGATCGCTAAAGCGTGAAACCCAGGGTCACAAACTCACATCTATCCAACCAAATATATATATATATATATATATATATATATATATATGTATGTATGTATGTATGTATATATAATATATTTTCTGTTTATACGTTGTTTTAATAGATACAATTTATTTAAGTAAACAGTAATTTGGACTTTGCTAACCAGACGATTCTTGGTGACTGAATGATTAACAGCATATCAGATAAAAAATATGGTTCCCGTTTGGGGTTTCAGGTTCGTGTCACGTCGAAGTACATACTTTCTACGAAGTGTCACGAACATTCAGGCCGGCAAATGTCATTAATACTGTTTATTTAGAAACAGATAATTTCCTCAGATAAATCGTATCTATTAAAATAACGTATAAACAGAAAATAATTAATTAATTATAATCGGACTTAATCTATTTCATAATGTTATTTTTAGTGGATACTGATATATCTGGAATATTCATAAACGAAAATAGATAAATATAGTGTTTAATAAATAAACAGAACGTCTACTCAAATCTGAGTATCCACTAAAAATAACATTTAAATCCATTACTTGAAAAGAAAATGTAGTATATGCACACAGATCTCAATGTGCGTAATAAATACTTATTAGGTATGTACAATAATAAATACTTATTAGATATGTACAATAATAAATATTTATTAGGTATGTACAATAATAAATATTTATTAGGTATATACAATAATAAATACTTATTAGGTATGTACAAAACTTCCCAGCCCTCTTCTTCTTTCAAGACTGGAATTTGAATGCGCAATTGCAAACCAGTTTCTCGCTGGAAACTTTTGCATACACCTCTTTCATGCTAACATACATACGTGTAGTCCCCCTCTTTCCGATATAAACAACTGTCCGGATGAAGATACAAAGTGGATAAGTATCAATATCTATCCATAATACATTCTTACATAAATAGGTACATATGTAATATATTCGTACACAGGCATTAAGAGAAGCTCTTTGTAAAATCATATATGTATCTGTTGATATGCATTTCATAAGTCACTAAAGTTTTGTTATCGTAGTATGCACATTAATTACTTAATATAATTAATTATATCATTTTTTATCATCATTTCATGGACATTCAATTTCGCTAAAAAAAAAAAAATGAAAGAAAACCTACAAAAAAACAACAATTTTTTTTAAGAATATGCCAAATCCGCCATTTTCTTCTTTTTTTTTTTTTCTTCCTTTCTGCTAAGAATTTGACGCACTTTTGGTGTTTCGAGTCACCGCAGTTTTAACTTAACTTTAATTTAATGCAAAAAATAAATAAAATGTAAGTTTAAAAAAATGCACATCTTTATTTGTTCTTCTGAGGGACCCCACAATACTCCCTTCTTTTTTTTTTCTGACTTAGGTCATCTCCAAGGAATGGACGGATGCTATTGCTTATAGTCGATAAGAATTGTAAAAAAAAAAAAAGTCTTCTACCACTGAACAATCACCTTATCACCATTGTTTACTTACGTGCAATGATTTGAAACGCTGTAATCATTTGTGGGGAAAAGGAAAATAAAATGTAAACAAAAACTTTATATTTTTATTTATTTTTTTATTTCTAAAGAAGTGACAATATGCCAGAAATGAAAGAGAAAAAAAAAAAAAACAACAGAATATCGAATACAAGCTATGTCGCATTTTTTCATTTGTTTACTTTTTATTACATTCATATTTTGAACGAATTAATGCATTTCCTTCGAGGTCATAATAATGTTCTATGTTTTCGTTATTTCTCCTAAACTTTGTTCCGCAAATCAATTTACTCAAGCTCACGAGATAAGTTATGCGTTGTTTTCCCCTGTCCCTTACATTCAATATGTCCTGTGAGTGGTAAATTTTCCAAACACCCTTTCCTTAATATGTGCCCTAGAAATTTCAACTGTCTCTTACTAAATTTACCAAACAATGCAAAGATTATGAATCGATAAAGCCAATATATATATATATATAGTCATAAATTTAAAAAAAAAAAAAAATGTAACCTCATATACATACTTAAACTTGATGTTAAAATAATCCTACATAATATAATGGATTCTAATACATTTAACTGTTCTTAAAAAGAATATAGTAAAAAAAAATTAAAAAGGAGAATATTTCAAATCGTAGTTAAATAAAAAGTATTAGAAAAAAAAAAAAAACGAAAATCTTTAAATTTAAAAATGACGTTGAATTTTTTTTTACAGTTAACAATTTTTTTAAAAAAAAAAAAAATTCAGACGACATCCATTCAACTGATGTCAGGTTTCATTGTAAAATACATCCCTACCCCCTTACCAAATTGTGGCTAATAACTGATACAATGATACTGACATAAGGAAAATCTAGACATCCCTTGTTCAATTTAAGTAGAATATTCTGTAACCATGGAAACGTGATTTTAGCTGTGTCTTTAAAACCCGGTAATTTTAAAGGTTACTCCAAAATTCGCTTGAAGATGAAATGGAACTAATGCTTTTAATT